GTTCTTGCCTCTGGCCGGGGGCCTGCCGCTCCTCCCCCTCCTCAGGCCCCCAGGGGAACCCCAGAGCCGCCAGGACCTCGGAGCCTTCCTCTACTGGGGCGTCCCCTTACTCCTGGCTAGTTCGTCGCCGGCGGGAGGGCAGAGTCCGGAGCTCCCGTGACCCGATCTGCCGCTCGGTGATCCCGGCGGCCATCTAGCCCGTCCGCCTGGCTCTGCGACCCCAGGACTGCGCGGCCCTCCCGGCTGGGGCTGTCTGAGGCCTGCGAGGTTCCTGCCTTCCCCGCTTCCGGTCGGCCTCGCCCGGGAGCCAGGGCTCCGGGCGCCCGATCGCCCCCGCCTGCGGTTGAGGGGAGAGTTAGATGCTTCTCTCTGCACTGACCTGGGCGAGTCCGAGGATGTCAGCGAGAGTGGGGGAGCCCTGCAACCCAAGGCGCGCCCCTCCCTCGGTTTCCGCCGGCGCTTCCTCTTCGCTGCTGGCGCAAGCTCTTTCTCGCTCAGGGTGATGCTGCCGGGGACTGGGTGGGGCTGGGGAAGCCTAGAAGGTGGAGTCCAGAGGAAAGCCGAGGCAGGTGCTGGGAGGGCGCCCGGACCCTCGCAAACACAACTGGACTGGCGAAGGGCGTGCTGCAGCATGGTGGCAGCCCGCGGCTGCCACTCCCATATTATTTGTAAGGCCTAGGAGTGTCCTCAAATAATTAGGCCTAAAAACTTATCTCTAGTGACCCCGTCAGGGGCCCAAAGTATGTCGAAGTGGCCTTGGGGAGGCTGTTTTTGTCTTCTGGATGGTATTGCCATCCGGCTGATGGTGTGCTGTGCCAAGCTGCCAGCGCCTCAACAGTGAGCACGATGGCATTTTCCTTCCCCTGTGGCCCTGATAGCTTCAAAAGGAGACGGCCACCAAGCAGACAGACAGACATGGCATCCCAAGTCCTCAGAAGCACATTGAGCACACAGGAGTGCTGAGATGGAGGACCATGAGGTGTGTTGGTTGGGGAGTCTCGGTGGGCAGTCAGATAAGCCTGCCTGGGGGCCAGAGGGTGAGACATGGAAAAGGGCTTGGTGGACAGAGGCAGCGACCAGGGAGGTGGCCGCAGACAGGTCCAACATGGGCCCTGCATCAGGACAGTCGCTTTGGTAAATAGTGCTGGGAGGGTACTGGATAGGACTTGGTCCCTGGTGCTTGTTCCCTGGGTGGTGGGTGAGAGTTAGGGTTAGTCCCCGCTGTCCTGGTCCGGCATGGGAAACAGACTCTGAACCCAGCCTCCAGGGGGAGCTTCAGCAGTTGATGTTAGGGAAGTGGGCGAGTAGGGGATCTCTTCTCGCCAGACACCACCTGTGGCGGGAGATTGTGCAGAGGACTGATGTTCTGGAGGTGGGGGGTGGTCTCCAGGGTGCTGCCGGCGGGAAACCTGTGGCTGCTCTGTCATGGGGGCAGGAAGGGGGTGCAGGCCGGTGTTTTGCCACCAGCAGTGAAAACGTGTGGCCCTTGCTGACCATGGTGTCAGAAAAGCTCCTTCCCTGAGTGTGTGGGGGTGTTAAGATTATTGCTTTTTCGTGGGGTGCGTCATTTACTCATCTGTGGGGCTTCTAAAGGCACGGTCTGCTGCGGCCAGGCCTTGATTTTTCTCCTCTCTGAACTGGTGCTGGAGGAGGCCCTCGGCAGTGCTGCTGGGGAAGTGGAATCTGCCTTGGGTCTTAGATGCCCATTTTTTTCTTTCGCTGCGTTCCTTCTTTTTGACAGAAACAAAGTCCCCCCCACCCCAACACACACAGTGCCCACCGCTTAATTAGAGTACTGACTTTTCTCAACAGAAGTTTCCTCTGACAGCCACCTCCCCCTTACTAGGGAGCTGATGACCCCTCAAAGCCTTAGGTTATCCTTTCTAGGGCATTTCCATTTCTAAGGGACCGCATGAGTGGAGACAAGGTTTGAGGCAAAGGACTGACCTCTGATGGTGCGGCTCTAAGGTCAAGCTCCCAGGTGTGCCCTGCCCCTCCTGAAGGTGTCACAGAGACCTGACGCTCCCTACTCATTTCTTATTCTTCATCTTCAGGCCTGGATCAGTGACATCCGAGCAGGGACCGCCCCCTCATGTGGCAGCCATATCAAATCAAGCTGCAGCTTGATCGCCTTCAACTCCGACCGCCCAGGTAGGCGGATGACCATGAGTGTGGGACTGAATGTGGTCACACAGCATGGACAGGGCAGGTGGGCAGGCAGGTTTGGTGCAGGCTGGAGGCTCAGAGTGATCTCTGGAGGCTCAGAGGTGAGCACCATATGGGACCAGATCTGTTGTAGTCTGGGTGTGCAGGTGCAACACTAATTGGTTGTAGTCTTCAAGGTTGGTGTGATGGGACTGGCACCTGTTTCCCATTGTTCCCATGTGCCAGCTCTTCCTCGTCTGTGAGTATGGGATCGCTGGAGTCGACAGGGACACCCACGTTTGAAAACATCATGTTAGTTGGGACTCCCTTGGTTGTGAGTGATAACTCAGACCCCAGACTGCTTAGGCAAAAACTGGGTAACTTTTCAGCTTGTGTAACTAAGACGCCAGGGGCTTCAGGCAGGGCCACAGCCATGGGCTCCCGTGTGCTGTCTGTGCAGCCTCTCTTGGTCCTGCAGCTTGGCCATTTCATGGGCATCTTGCTCAAATGAGGGTGAGAAAAATGGTAACCCGGGACCACACCCTGATCTCTTATGATCCACAGCACGAAAAAGAGAGTCCCTCTTGCCCGCTTTCTTGTGTATGCTGCAGGCACAGACAGTTCCGACCCGGGCTGTGACCTGCCCCAACCCATCACTTCATCCAGAAGGATGTGATTCTTGATTGGGGAAGGCTCTGGGAAAACCCAGGTTGAGCTGGGAGCCCTGTGCAGGGAGAGAAATATCTCTGTATGGCCTGAGGGCTGAGCTCCCACATTTGTCTAACAGGTGTGCTGGGCATTGTGCCTCTGGAAAGCCAAGGAGAGGACAAGAGACACGTGGCCTACCTAGGCTGCCACTCAGGTGAGTAGGGACTCTTACCCGCTTCTTCCCAGGGCCTGGGATTCACACTCATGCTCCTGCTGTCCTCTCTGAGTTCTGTGAGATGAATTTGGGCCCAGAAGAACATGTCCTGGTTGGAAATTCTGTCCAGGGTGGGAAGAAGTGTGTGTTCCAGGCTGTCCAGTGGGGAGCTGGAGGATGTGTGGCCTGACGTCCTTGGCTCCAGGCCAATGCCGGCTCCCTGTTGCTGCTGAGGACTCAGCCTTGTGTGGGTCTTAGCCCTGCCTGTTCGAGAGCCCAGCAGGATATCCCAGGCCACCAGCCATCCTCCCCAGCCAGGCCACTTGGGGCCCTCCAAGGAGGTGGCTGTGCTGGGCTGCAGGACCACAAGGAGCCCTCACAAAGAGAGCCTTTGTTCACTGCAGCTGCTTCTGGGGGCGCCCAGCAGCCCTCCTGGCAGCCTGCCCACCTTTGGAGCAGCTTGCTCTTCTCAGGCTGAGGCAGCAGCAGCCCAACTGGCCTGCCTCCGCCTGTCCAGCTGTGGGGGCGGGGCCAGTCTCTTCGGCCTACAGTCCACCACCCATGGGGAGGCCTCAAGGTGAGGGGAGCCTGGGTCTGTAGCTGGGTGTGCTGCTAGGTGTAGGGCTCTGACCACGATGCTGAGATTGCTAACACTTAGGATGCGTTTTCAGCTCTGTGCTAAGTACAATCACTGTCTTGTACCCACGGATTCTACATCCAGATTCAAGCTAACCCATCGACAGATCGAGAATATTTGGAAAAAACAAACAAACAAAAAACCCAGAAAACAAAAATGATTGAGACTGTGCTGAACATTTGTAACTTTTCTTGTCACTACTTCCTAAACAATAGAGTGATAAGTGTTTACATAGCACTTACATCTGTTAAGCATCATGCGTACCCTAGAGAAGATTTAAAGTATATGCAGAAGTACGTAGGATACGGATACGTCACATCCCTGCTGTTTTATGGGAGGGACTTGAGCACCCACTGTTTGGTACCTTGGTGGGGTCCTCCTGAAAGCAGTCCCTTGCAGATACTGTTCTCTGCATTTTCTTATCTACTCTTTTTTTTTTTTAAGAGAGGTTTTTTCCATAGGGTGTGTGCACTTGGAGGCACAGAGAGAGACAGATGGGAAGTGAGAAATCACCCCACAGCCTCGGGAAACGTTCACGCCACTATCCCTTCTCTTCTAGTCTCCTCTCGGGATTTTGAGCATGCACACACATGCGCCCAGTGTGTTTCAAGCTGCCAGGTCCAAGACTCGAACCGTGGTCAACTACGTGAGGGTCCAGCAATGTAACCATTATGCCATCTGCTGGTCCTCTAATCTTTTTTTTAAGACTACTTAATTGAGATTTTTATTTAATATCTTAAATATCACCTGTTTTGGGAAAATAATTGCTTTTTTTAAAACAAAATTTTTAAGAGAGATTTTTGCTATAGGGCGCTTGTGCTTCCTGGAGAGACAGAAAGCAAGAAATCCTCTCCCCTCCCCCCAGGATGGTCTGGCCATGCCATCACAATCCCTTTCCTTCTTGGAATTTTGGACATGCATGCACATGCTACTGGCATGAATTTCAAGCCGTTGGGTCAGGGACCTGAGCCATGGTCAACTACATGGGAGTCTAGCGATGTACACATTATGCCATCTACTAGAATTTGTTGTTTTTACTCAAGTTACAGGATCACGTACGTCCCACTCCGGTTTTAGAACATCTCCATCACCCTCCGATGCCTCCTCCTGCCCCTTTATAGCTGATCTGTTTCCACCTCAGGCACCCCTGCCTCCACACCCGTTGCTTGCTATCTGCCTCTGTGGCAGAGCTCTGCACCCTGCTGTCCCGGCCAAGCCAGAGCTGCCTGTTTCTGTGAATGGTGCCCCTGGCACACAACATGCCCTTCCATTGCGTCATCTGTGGCTGCCTTCTGGCAGCAACTGCGGAGTGCTTGTGGCAGAGACACTGTGGCCTCGAAACCAGAAAACGTCTACCACCCTGTACTTTAAGGAAGCGTTGGCTGGCCTCTGCTCTGTGGACCGGTCATTTCTGGATGGCTCACATAAGTGAGACCATGTAATGCAAGGCCCTTGAATCTGGTTTCTTCATTTACGATAACGTTTTAGGGCTCGTCTACATTATATCACATGTAAGAAGTTTGTTTTCTTTCTTTCGTTTTTCTTTCTAGTTTTTGCTGTAGGGCCTGTGTACTCCCAGAGAGAAAGTGAGATGTTACCCCCTAGGGGCTGGCCATGTTGCATTCCTATCTCCTTTCTCTTCTCGTTTTTTTTTTTTGTTTGTTTGTTTTGTTTTAAATTATTTGTTTATTTAATTCCATTTATTATCATTTAAAAAATTTATTCATTCATTTATTTTTTAATTTGACTAGAGAGAGAGAGACGCACACACACACAAAGAGGGAAAGTGAGAAAGTGAGAAAACAAGCTACCAGGTCCAGGACTCGAACCATGGTCGGCCATGGGATAGTCCAGTGCCTTAACCACCATGCCACCTGCTGGCCCCCTTATCATTTTTATTTTTTAATTTGACTAGACAAAGAGAGAGAGAAAGGGAAAATGAGAGAGCAAGTCTGGGACTTGAACCATGGTCAGCCATCTGGGAATCTAGCACCCTTAACCACCATGCCACTTGCTGGCCCCTCCTCTTGGGGTTTTGAGTACATGCACACACATGCCTGGTGTGATTTTTCTTTTCTTTCTTTCTTTTTTTTTTTAAAAAGAATATCTTACTGGGGGGACCAGCAGGTGATGTAGTGGTTAAGCGCTAGACTCTCACATGGCCCACCACGGTTTGAGTTCCAGACCTTGCTTTCTCACTTTCCCTCTCTCTCTCTCTCTGTCTCTCTCTCTAGTCAAATTAAAATAAATGAATGAATAAATAAAAATTAAATACAAAATATTCTTTTTTTAAAAAAGAATTATCTTATTGGGGCCTGCACTGGACTCCCACATGACAACAGGAGGAGAATGGAAGAGAGGGGACTGTGGCATGTCCATGCCCTGGAGGTGATTTTTCACTTTCCCTCTCACTGTCTCTGTCAAGCACACGCTCTTTTTTTTTTTTTTAAAGAATTAATTAATTATTATTATTATTATTTTCCAGTTTGATCAGAGAGACAGAGAGGGAAAGTGAGAAAGCAACCTACCAAGTCCGGGACTCAAACCACAGTTGGCCATGCAGGAGTCCAGTACGTTTAACTACCACGGCACCTGCTGGCCTCCTGCTCTGATTATCAAGCTACTGGTTCTGGACTCCAACCATGGAATCGGCCGTGTGAGACCTACTTACTTTAACCTCCATTTCAACTGCTAGCCCAAAAGTTTATTTTCTTACCTAATTATAAACATTTTTAAAAAATAATTTATTTTATTTGTTATTATTAACTTGACGAGAGAGAGAGAGAAAGGGAAAGTGAGAAAGCAAGTCTACCAGGTCCTGGACTCAAACTGTGGTCGGCCATGTGGGAGCCCAGCATCCTAACCACTGTGCCCCTGCTAGCCCTTTAATTGCAAACATTTTGGAAGTAAGTTTTATTTAATTAATTAATTTATTTATTTATTTGGAAAGGTTTTTGCTATAGGGCACATGCGCTCACCAGAAAGACAGAGACAGACAGAGAGACAGAAAGTGAGAAATCACCCCCCAGGGGGAATGGCCACACCACAATCCCTTCTCCTCCATTCTCCTCTCCGGATCTTGGGCACGCACGCACATGCCCCTTGCTGAGTTTAAGCTAGCAGGTCTGAGACTCGAATTGTGGTCGACTACATGGGAGTCCAGCAATGTAGCCGTTATGCTATCTGCTGGTCCCATTTATTTACTTACTTACTTACTTATTTATTTATTTTAGAGAGGTTTTTGCTATAGGGCACGTGTGCTCCCGAGAAAGACAGAGAGACAGAAAGCGAGAAATCCCACCCCCCCCGGGGATGGCCACACCGCAGTTCCTTCTCCTCTTGGGATCTTGGGCACACATGTACATGCACCCCGCTGAATTTAAGCCACCGGATCCGGGACTCTAACCACAGTTGACTCCATGGGAGTCCAGCAACTTAGCCATTATGCTAACTGCTGGTCCCATTACTTATTTATTTTTTAAAGAATAATTTTATTCAACTTTATTTATTTATTTTAATTTGACCAGAGGACAGAGTGGGGGGTGGTGAGAAAGCAAGCCACCAGGTCTGGGACTCGAACCACAATCATCCATGTGGGAGTCCAATGCCCTTAACCACCATACCACCTGCTGGCCCCTATTTATTTTTTTTTCTTTTATTTTTGCTATAGGGTGTGTGCACTCGCCAGACAGACAGACAGACAGAGAGGCAGAAAGTGAGAAATCACCTCCCAGGGGGAATGATCACGCCACAATCCCTTCTCCTCCATTCTCCTCTCAGGATTCTGAGCACACACGCACATGCACCCGGTGTGAGTTTAAGCCACCAGGTCCAGGACTCGAACCGTGGTTGACTACATGGGAGTCCAGCGACATAGCCATTACGCCAATAGCTGGTCCCCCCATTTAGTTTTTTTAAGAGAGATTTTTTTTGCTATAGGGCACATGTGCTTGCCAGAGAAACAGAGACAGACAGACAGAAAGCAAGAAATCACCCCCCTGGGGGGATGGCCATGCCGCAATCCCTTCACCTCCATTCTTCTGTCAGGATCTTGGGCACGCACGCACTTGCACCTGATGTGAGTTTGAAGCCGCTGCATCTGAGACTTGAACTATGGTTGACTACCTGGGAGTCCAGCAATGTAATCGTTATGTCATCTGCTGGTCCTGAAGTAGGTTTTAAAATAAGTCATTTTTCGGTAAACTGAGGTTCAACGAGGTTAGGAATTTACCATCAATCACATGGCTGCTGGCAGAGCCGGTCTGAAGTCCAGATCTCTCAGAACCTGAGTTTGCTTTTTGATGTTTATCAACCTGTGGGGTCCCACTCCGAGGATGATGTAGGGTACCGAGCCTCCTGGTACTAGGGGCCTCAGAGAAGCTGGACCAGGCTCCCGTGGGTGGGTTATGGCCTGACCAGGGCTGCGGCCATTCAGAGCCTCATCCCTGCAGGAGCAGCCTCGCCTGGAAGCTGCTTTTGAGGTAGCTGAGCCCCAGCTCTCTGGTGACCTGTCCTGGAGATACCAGGTGCTGCTGCCCTCGGGGCTGGAGCTGGGCTCTGGCTGCTGTCCTCGGGGGTGCTGGGGGTGGGCTCTGGCTGCTGCCCTGCCTTTGGTGGTGCCCTGCCCTCAGGGACCCCTTTGGGCTCTCCGCTCAGTGCTGCACCTGCCCTGGGGAACAGTGACAGGGAGCAGCTGGAGTCTGGGCTGTGGGGGTGGTGGCTGGAGCCTTACCACTCCCCCCCAGAAAGGCAGTGGACGTTGTGCTGACAGCATAAGTTCAGAAGCCAGATGGTCTGGGCCTGCCCCTCAGCGCTGTCCCTCCTTTGCTGTGTGATTCTGGACGAGTTCCTTACCCCGTCTGGGTTTCAGAGGCCTGACCCTCCAGCTGGGACGGTGCTGCAGCACTACCCGGCTGCTCCGCGCAGGCTCAGGGATGAGGGCAGCACACACCAAGCGCTCTGCGATGCAGTTGCATTACGGCGTCTCATCCCTCTGGAGATGCCAAGCTGCCCCGCCCTCCCCAGTGAGGAGCCGCTTGGGTGGGGATGGCAAGGCTCCTGCAGTTCCAGGCCCAGGACTGTGATGGTCCTGCTGGCTGGAGTTAAGGCTGGGCCATCCTGAAGGGTGCCTCTGGGTCTGCATCCTCTGCTTCTCTGCCTCCTCTGGCTGGGAGCGAAACAGTCATGCTAAGCCCCACTGGGAGGTGGGTGGTGGGGGCTGACTGCTAGCTCCTTGCCCTGGCGATGCAGGCCTGTGGTCCTGTTCACCTCCCCCCTCCCGCACTCACCACCCACCACACCTCATTTCCACCGCAGAGCCACCAGCCGCCTTTCCTTCCCGGCTCTGGCTTACTCGGGAGCCCCACATCCTGCTCTGCAGCCCCAGAGCTAAGCCATGCATGTTTGGTTTCAAAGACCTGAAACCCACTCTGGCTCACTTAAGACAAAAAGGGGTTTGCTGGGCGACTCCTGGAGCCTGTCTGCAAGAGCGACTGCACGTCCTACCTTGGGGGGGCTGGGAGCCCCATGAACTTCCTCCCCATCCTATTCACCAGCCTGGTGCCAGGGCCTGTGGCCACCGGCTCAGCAGGGCTCTTGGGGACACGTGGTGGGAGAGGCCTGTAGTGTTTGCCACTATGATGTTTAGGGGATGCTTTGGCCTCGTAGGCTCAGTCTGCTTTGGTGTGGCAGAGATGTCTCCTTGGGGCAGGCCCAGTGGGTTGGCACGGGATGTGCCATGGGCTCAGCCATGCCTTTCCCACAGACCTGCTCACAGACTTGGCCTTCTCTCCCTTTGACGACTTCCTGCTGGCCACGGGCTCTGCTGACAGGACGGTGAGTGAAGCTGCTGGGTGCCCCACCCGCCCTCAGCCCCCCGGCCCAGACCCTCTGTCCTGGGGCGGTGACCCCTTTACTGCCTCGGGGGCTGGGAGGAAAGTCTCAAGTCCACACTGGCTCCAGAGTGCTTGCTCAAGGCAGGGCCATGGACCATGGTCAGGACTGCCGAGGGAAGCAAGCTTGGGCATGGGGGGCCTCAGAGACCAGAGCCCCTGCCCAGCTGTTTACATCGTCCCCACCTGTCTCTGACCACACTCTGCAGGGTGGGGTGTCCTCTGCCCAGGAGGGTACTGTCCTCTTGGAGCAGCTGTGCTTCAACATGGGATCCCGATAAGCTTAGGACAGCCTTGGGTGAGGCTGCCTGGTGGTATCGGGGTCCCCATCCTGGGGTCACAGGCCGGATCTTTCCTGTAGGTGAAACTCTGGCGTCTGCCAGCCTCTGGCCAGGCCCTGCCTTCAGTGCCCGGGGTGGTGTTGGGCCCCCACGACTTTCCAGTGGAAGTGCTGCAGTTCCACCCCACTGCAGACGGCGTCTTGGCGAGCGCAGCTGGCACGGCCGTGAAGGTCTGGGATGCGGCCAGGCAGCAGCCCCTGACAGGTACGCCTACACCCCACCCCTGCCTGCCCTGTGCCACCCCTCCTCTGGGCAGGACTTGCTCCTTTGTTGGTGTTCTTAGTAGTGTACATTTATTTTTTAAAAGTTTTTTAAAGAATTATTTTATTTACTTATTATTTTAATTTGACCTGAGAGGGATAGAGTGAGGGAGAGTTCGAAACAGGGAAAGTGAGAAAGCAAGCCACCAGGTCTGGGACTCGAACCACAGTCAGCCATGTGAGAGTCCAGCACCCTTAACCACGACGCCACCTGCTGGCCTCATGCAGTGAACATTTAACTACCTACCGAAGTGTTACACGTCCATAGTATGAAAAGTCAGGTGGCTCTACAGAGCTTGTGGTAACCTCTAACTCTCTACGCCTGTGGGAATTTGTTTTCGTTTCTCTTAAGTGATATTTTTCCTATTGTTTTCCTCCGCTTTTTTTCTTTTAATAATTATTTATTTAATTTTATGTATTCATTTATTTTAATTTGGAGAGAGAGACACAGGGACACAGAGAGAGAGAGAGAAAGAGAAAGTGAGAATGCAGGTCACCAGGTCCGGGACTCGAACCATGTCCGCCATGTGGGAGTGTCCAGCGCTTTAACCACCATGCCACCTGCTGGTCCCCTCCTCCGCTTTCTTCTTTCTTTAAGCTTTTTTTTTTTACTTGGCAGAGGGTGTGCTCACTCACCAGAGTGACAGAAACGTCCCTGTTGGTATGATTGCACTGCAGTCCCTTTTTTCTACTTCCCCGTCCGTTGGAACTGGGGTGGTTTCACAAGCTGCCAGGCCGGGGTTCAGTCTGCAGCCGGCCGTGTGGGACTGGGTGTCCTCACACAGTACTCAGCCGGGGTTCGGTCTGCAGCCGGCCGTGTGGGACTGGGTGTCCTCACACAGTACTCAGCTGCCGTGCTTCGTGCTTCCTGCAGTTCTCCCTTTCAGAGGAGCACACGCATGCGCTCGCCAGACACAGGTAGAAGGTGAGAGATCACCCCTGGGGCATGACCACGCTACAATCCCTTATCCTCCAGTTTCCTCCTGGGATCTTGGGCATGCACGTGCTGGTGTCAGTTTCAAGCTGCTGGGTCCGGGACTCGAACCAAGGTCGACTGTGTGGGAGTCCAGCAATGTAGCCATTGAGCCATCTGGTGGTCCTAGTTCTCCAATTTTTTTTTTTTTAAGGCCTCTCCCCAGAAAGTCAAGGCCATTTTCTTTTCTTTTCTTTTTTTTGGAGAAGTTTTCACTGTAGGGCACGTGCGCTCGCCAGACAGAGAGAGACATAGAGACAGAAAGCGAGAAATACACCAGGAGGATGGTCACGCCGCAGTCCCTTCTCCTCCATTCTCCTCTCGGGATCTTGGGCACGCACGCACACGCGCCCGGCGTGAGTTTAAGCCACCGGGTCCGGGACGCGAACCGCAGTCGACTACGTGGGAGTCCAGCGACATAGCCATTACGCTAACTGCTGGTTCCCTAGTTCTCCCATTTTTAAGCAACGTCTTTACAATGGGTTTTCTTTTTTTCTAAATTTTTTTCTTTATGATAGAACATGTACATGCACACATGAGAGAGAGGAACACATGTGCATGTGAGAGACAAGAGCGCACGCATGCATGAGAGAGGGGAGTGCATGTGACGGGAGTACACGTGCATGTGAGAGGAGCACACGTGAGAGAGAGGAGTGCATGGGCATGTGAGGGGAGTACACGTGAGGGGGCACACATGCACGTGACAGGAATACACGAGAGAGAGAGAGAGAGAGAGAGGAGTGCACGTGCATGTGAGGGTAGTACACGTGAGAGGGGCACACGTGCACATGACGGGAGTACACGTGAGAGAGAGAGGAGTGCATGTGACGGGAGTACACATGAGAGAGGAGTGCACGTGACTGGAGTACACGTGAGAGAGGAGTGCATGTGCATGTGACAGGAGTACACGTGAGAGAGAAAGGAGCACACGTGCATGTGATGGGAGTACATGTGACGGGAGTACACGTGAGAGAGAGAGGAGCGCACGTGCACGTGACGGGAGTACACGTGAGAGAGAGGAGCGCACATGCACGTGACGGGAGTACACGCGCACGTGAGAGGAGCGCATCCAGGAGAGCTGGTCATCCCACGAATCCCACGGTCTCTTTCTCTCCTCAGTTCAGAACCTTGGGTCTTTGGCTCCCGTGTGCCTGCCCAGCACGGTTCGGGCTGAGGGGTCCCTGGATTCAGAACGTGCTCGCCACAGAGGACCCGGCCTCTCGTGAGCAGCAAATGCTGCTGCTCTGCAGAGCTGGCCCTAATTTATCTGCATGTCTGTTGTGACTTTCAAGCTGCTGGGTCCGGGATTTGAACCACGGCCGACCATGTGGGGATCCAGCACCTTAACCACCATGCCACTGGCTGGTCCCGCAGCATTCCCTTCTCCGTGCTCATCGTGGGATTTGGGCGTGCTGCACGTGTGTCTGGTGTGATTTCCAAGCTGTCAGGTCCAGGACTCTAGCTGTGGAGTCGGCCATGTGGCAGTCCATGCCTTAGCCACATGCCACCTGCCAGTCCCCCTACTTTTTATTTTTTAAGGTTAATTTATTTCTTCCAGGAGTGAGAGAGGGAGAGAAGCACCCCGACAGGGTCCTGCTACTTCAGTCTGTGTCCAGCCTCAACCCTGAACCATGGCATGCATACGCCTGGCACGTGCAGGGAGATTTCTGGACTCAGACCCTGAGCACCCCCCACCATGTGGGTCTGCCTCACTGAGCCGCCTGTGCTACTGGTCCGCTGCTGTGCAGCCCCTGCTCCTATTTCTGGAAATGTTTTTAGTTTTTGAAACAAACTGTGGACTTCCCCCCAGGTAGTGAGGATTCCGCTGTCTGGGGTAGCCCTTCCCACATGCCCGCGCTCCCTCTGCCCGGTGTAGTGGCCCCAGGGCTGGGTTAGAGTCCTTAGGGTTTGAACAGCTGTGACCGTGCACATGCGACTCACAGTGGACCCTGTGGTACAATGTGGTCACAGAGGGTCTTCCTGCCCTGCTGCCCCTGTTTCAGAGGTAAAGACACAAGGTGCAGAGACTTGAGGGACAGACTTGCCCCAGAGGGTTGTGCAGAGTCGGGGTAGCTAAGTTTGCCTCCTGGGGCTGGGACAACAACGTCCACACCCTGCCAGCTGAGGCTGTCGCAGCACGGCTGAGTGTCCCAGGGCATCTGCAGACAGCCAGTGCCCACTGTGCCATGGAGGGCGGGGGACGTGAAATATAAGGGGCAGGCCTTGCCCAGAAGAGCTCCTGGGGCACCTAGCAGACCCGCTTAACCCTTAAAGTGCAGGAGAAGGTGACCAGTCTCCTGTCTGCCTTCAGAGAGTAACCCCAGCTGCAATTACCGTTTCTCAAGTGCTTCTCACCTGCCCAGCCCCGTGCAAGAGCTTCACAACTGCTTTGCACACTGTCCTCACAGCAGCTACCATGGAGGATGGCCACACCACAATCCCTTCACCTCCATTCTCTTGGGATTTTGGGCATGCATGCATACATGCCCAGTGTGATGTTCAAGCCTCCTGGTCTGGGACTTCCTGAGCACCCCCCACCATGTGGGTCTGCCTCACTGAGCCGCCTGTGCTACTGGTCCGCTGCTGTGCAGCCCCTGCTCCTATTTCTGGAAATGTTTTTAGTTTTTGAAACAAACTGTGGACTTCCCCCCAGGTAGTGAGGATTCCGCTGTCTGGGGTAGCCCTTCCCACATGCCCGCGCTCCCTCTGCCCGGTGTAGTGGCCCCAGGGCTGGGTTAGAGTCCTTAGGGTTTGAACAGCTGTGACCGTGCACATGCGACTCACAGTGGACCCTGTGGTACAATGTGGTCACAGAGGGTCTTCCTGCCCTGCTGCCCCTGTTTCAGAGGTAAAGACACAAGGTGCAGAGACTTGAGGGACAGACTTGCCCCAGAGGGTTGTGCAGAGTCGGGGTAGCTAAGTTTGCCTCCTGGGGCTGGGACAACAACGTCCACACCCTGCCAGCTGAGGCTGTCGCAGCACGGCTGAGTGTCCCAGGGCATCTGCAGACAGCCAGTGCCCACTGTGCCATGGAGGGCGGGGGACGTGAAATATAAGGGGCAGGCCTTGCCCAGAAGAGCTCCTGGGGCACCTAGCAGACCCGCTTAACCCTTAAAGTGCAGGAGAAGGTGACCAGTCTCCTGTCTGCCTTCAGAGAGTAACCCCAGCTGCAATTACCGTTTCTCAAGTGCTTCTCACCTGCCCAGCCCCGTGCAAGAGCTTCACAACTGCTTTGCACACTGTCCTCACAGCAGCTACCATGGAGGATGGCCACACCACAATCCCTTCACCTCCATTCTCTTGGGATTTTGGGCATGCATGCATACATGCCCAGTGTGATGTTCAAGCCTCCTGGTCTGGGACTTGAACCACAGTCCGCCATGTGGGAGCCCAGCGGAATAACCACTTCACCCGCTGGCCCCAGGAATTAGGATTTTTAAAGTCTTTGAGGAGGACACAATTTCGCTCATAACAGGAGTTTCAAAGAATGTGTGGACGCGGATAACCCCACACCAGGGAGGAGAGGGGGGAGGGCGGAGCCGAGGCCTACTGGGAGGGACCAGAAGGAACTGGGAAGTGAGTGGCCAAGCCTCAGGAGGTGACCCTGCAGAGGCGTGGCCCGGCGGGCAGTGCTGCAGGAGGTGGCCTGGGCACGTGGTGGCGTGTGTGGGAAGACCTGCTGCCCTTTCCCCCTCCCAGCTGGGAGGGACCCTCAGCCCCCAGCGGCTGCCTCTGTCCTGGGAGTCACCCAAGCCAGGCTTGCCCCCCCGCACCCCTATATCGGCACTGCTTCAGGGCCTGACCTGGGCTGCTTCTCCACAGAGCTAGTGGCCCATGGGGACCTGGTACAGAGCGCCAACTGGAGCTGGGACGGAGCCCTCCTGGGCACAGCGTGCAAGGTGAGCAGGGGCGGGAGATGGGTGCCGTGCAGGGGCATCTCGGGCTGTATGCTGTGGCCCGATGTTTTGGGCTCGGCAGCATTTATGGAGGACTGAGGTTGGGGTGGGCACACGTGAGCCCCTCGTGCCCCTGGCTGCCCTCACACCTGCTCACACCTGCATCTGGGAGCGTGCAGCCCTGCTGGGTCCCCACACTACCCCTGTGGGTCCAGCGATGCCGGCATTTCCTGGCTGTGTCTGGTTTGTCCGGCCGCCTCCCTTTGAGAGGCCTGAGCTAAGCAGCGTCTTCACACAGGACTCTGCGGTGCTGGCATGGGCTGGGAGGAGCCGGCACTGGGCTGGGTGCAGAGTACTGGGATACTCGGCCCCGCTGGAGCCAGGCGGCGCCCAGGCTGCCTGCATGAGGGTGCTTGCCGTGGGGCAGTGGGGGAGCAGCAAAGCATTGAGAGCCCAGGAGGGCAGGTGGTGTGTGAGGTGACGTGGACAGCATGGCTGGCATCTGAAGCTGATGTGGGACAGCCCGTGGGAGAAGGCCACCTGCAGCGAGGGGCAGTAGGGCTTGCTGGGCGGGGGCCCTGGGGGCTCTGAGCAGAATTTGTTGCGGGTGGGAAGGGGCCTTGTGTGCAGGGTCTCCAGGAAGGAAGGGGAAGATGGGGCTGGAGGGTCGGATCACAGCCTGTAGGGGAGATGGGGAGAAAAGAACTGGACAGGCTGGGGCTTGAGACCCAGGACCAGAGGGTGCCCCGGGAGATGGCCGTGGGTACCTCGAGGTTCGAGAGGGCCCGTTGGGTTTCAGGATGCTGGAGACCCTGAGACGTGGGCAACTTCAAGGATCTTTTCGGGGGTGTATGTGGGAAAATGAAGGGGGGCAGGAGCTGGCTTACAGGGGTGCTCTTCTGGAGCGGCCTGAGAGCTTCCTGTCCTCATGGCTCTCTGCACTTGGTGGGATCCCCGTTCCCATGGCTTCCTCGTCACTGCCTCCGTAGAAGCTGATTCTTTGTCCACCTCCCCGTGTCTGTTAAATGGTAGCCTGGCCTGAGTGTGGGATCGAGAAGTAAATCAGGGAAATTGCTGGCCACAGGGGCCTGGTAAGCTCACCCAGGGTCAGCCCTGCTGAGGGCTTCCAGGGAGAGAGCCCAAGCCGGTCCGTGAGGGATGAGCCCGCCTAGGAAGCAGCAGGCAGCACCTGGCTGAGGTGATAGCTTGGCAGTCCGTAAGGACAGTTGCGGCTGGACCGGGCCTCCCTTCCTCCAGGAAGTCTCTCTTCCTGTCTGTCACTGGTAAAGGTCCGAGCCCCACTTACCTCCAAAACTGGGCAGGGAAGGACGAAAAGCCTGTGGGTCACCAGGCACGCCCGTGTGGATGCGGCTCACTTGGCCTACCAGCATCCTGTGAGGGAGAGTTGGGAGTTCGAGCCCAGGGACTTCTGCTGTTCCCCAGACCCAGGGCTTACCATTAGGGGGGCCAAAAATTTCCCCTGTGGGCGGTGGCAGTGCTGCCGAGGATTGACCTCTCCTGCCCCCTCCTCCTACCCTTGGTTCCCTCCAAGCTGGTTCTTGGCACACACTGCACTGGGGTACCTCAGCCTGGGTCCCAGGCTACCCTCTGCTGTACAGGGATGCCCTGGGCTCCTCAGTGATGCAGCAGACCCCGAGGTCCTTGCTGTGTGGTGCTAGGTATGGGGCAGGGAGACCCTGCTGCAGGCTGTGCGTTTGCAGGCTGTGGGCTGTCCTGAGTGCAGGGGAGCAGGTGCAAGGGCCCTCCCTCTCCTCTTCTCTCTCTCCTCCCCTTGCAGGAGAGTGCTGGAGCCTGCCTGCCTGCCTTGGCATAGGCCAGGTTCTGGGTCTTGTCCCAGAGCTGCTCTTGCCAAGGACTGCCTGACTGCAGCGGGGCTGGGCGTCGCACTGCTCCCCCTTAGGATGTTTCCAAGTCCCCTTTTCTTTTGTGGCCATTGCTGGAGCGTCAACAGCCAAAAGGAAGTTCAGTCCTTTCATGACTTCTGACCCCAGCGGGAACGTAAAGGGCATTTCAGTGCACCCTCCCACACCCACAGGAAGAGTATGTCTTCCCCCGTCCAAAGAGCGGGGGCAGAAGACAGTGTGCAGGTCATGCTGTCCGAAAGGACGACGAAGCTCAGGGCGTGAGGACACTAAAGGTCGGCACGTTGGCAAAGGCGGCCAGGTTCACAGGAAGAGATGGCATCTGTATCGAGCGGGCGCAGCAGGAGAGGCTGATGGCACAGCTGTCCATGTGGGGTCCACCCTGGCAAGGCAGTTACCACTAGACTAAAGCTGGGCAGAGACCTCAAAAAGATCCTTGGACGGGAAGCCAGGTCTCGCCAGTAGGGAAGGAAATGGCAAATACAGGAAGAAACAATTGAGAAGGTGTAGGGGTAGAATCTTATATACAGTTCTTATCAGAAACTGCTAAAATGGGGACCAGCAGTTAGCATAATGGCTATGTCGCTGGACTCCCACGTAGTCGACCGCTGTTTGCGTCCCAGACCTGGTGGCTTAAAACTCACGCTGGGCGCGTGTGCGTGTGTGCCCAAGATCCCGATAGGAGAATGGAGGAGAAGGGATTGCGGTGTGGCCATCCCCCCGGGGGGGTGATTTCTCGCTTTCTGTCTCTCTGTCTCTCTCTGTCTGTCTGGTGAGCATAAGTGCCCTATAGCAAAAACCTCTTAAAAAAAAAATAAAAAGAAAAGAAACTGCTAAAATGAAAAAACATTTCCAGTTTCTCACTTTAGACATGAATATTTAAATAAGTAATGTTCCTATGAACATTCTTTTTTTCCTAACCAACTGAGGTGTTTTTTTTTTTTTTTT